CCCCCCCCCCCCCCAGCACCGCGAAGCATGTTCTATAACAGCTGTTGGCATGCCCTCAGTGTTTGCCCCGTCTCTGAAGTGTCCTTAAGTAGGCTGGATTTGACTTCAAAATGTGTTTCTGGGTGCTTTTAATCCCTTTACCTGCCGGTGGTGCCACGGAAGGGATTAACACTGACTGAGCCATGATCTGCTGGTGAAGTGTTGCGCATGCCCCTCACTCTTTGCATGTGGGAGAAGCAGTTGTGAAATCTTTCACTGGCGTTAGTCAAAATATGGCCAAAGTCCTTCCTTTTGGCCATCTTTTGCATAATCATTGCAGCACCTGGTAGCCTATCGGGCCATGCTCTTGGTACTGCTTTGCTACAAAACTGAGGCATGCTCAGGGGTGCGGAATTTTTTTAAAAAAACTTCTTGTCCAAGGGCTAAAGCCGGGGCCGAATCTACTTGTCCTTCATGACAATCTACTTGTCCCAATACCAAAAAAAATTTTTCATCAAAACTAAGGATGCACCAATACCGGGTTTTCCGTACCGAGTACTGATATTTTGCTTTCGGTACTCGCCGATACTGAATTCCAATACCGTTGCTTTCGCTGGCATGGAGCAGACTTCCTGGGTAATCAGGAAGACTGACAGCGGGTAATAACATGCCGCCCAGCTTCCTTATTGCCCATGTTCCCCTGCGGCACTGCCAGTCGGGAAATTTTCCTCTGGCCGTAAGTTCCAGTATTGGGGAAGTTATCTGAGCATTTGGGTGAGTACAAGTACTCGCCCAAATACTTGGTATCAGCACTGTATCAGTGCATCCCTAATCAAAATGTATTTGTGCTAAATAGTGCTTCTCACTGATCAGCGTGGTCACCTGACCAATGAGTGCTTGCAATTTGCGAGCGAAATGCAATATGCATAGGGCAGGGCTGCACTGGACAGTACACCGGTACTGGCAGAGGGGAGGGTCTTTTCGCCGAAAGGTAAGTATAGCGGGGAGGAGGTGTGTGTGTAAAGAGTTCTGTCTGGCTACCACAATGGAATGGCAGCTCACTCAACGCACAATGTCCTACGGCAGGTGGCAGCAGCGTTCGTTTTAATTTATTTTTTAGTTTATCACTTATTTTTTTTTATTTTTTTCATTTTGATTCCTATCACATAGTGGATTACAAGCCCCTATGAGATAGTTTGGAGGTGACAGGTTCTCTTTATGGAACCTGCCCTCCAACACAGAACAGAAGTTCCTCGACAGCTGAGGCAGGTGGCGCTGTGATAACAGCTCTACGGTCTCGGTGATCACACGGAGCAGATGAAGAACGGACGTTCTTCGTCTGCTCTACACTCTATGGCAGAGCCATTCTGCCGTGGTCTCGGGTCCCCCAGAAGAGCGGCGGGCGGACACCATCGCCGCTGCTTGTTTGATAGAAGTGATCTGATCAGATTGTACTAAACGAGCGGCGGCTCCCCTCCGGACAAGCAGAGCTAAATGTACAGAGGAAGGCTAAATGTAGAAAAAAACTCGTGCCCGAAACTGCATGTCCCGGGCGTCGGGCGATAGGAATTCCACACCCTGCATGCTAAGTGGCAGGGGGTTTTCATGGGTTTGCCATTGTCCAATCCTTCTGTAGGCAACTCAACGTTGAGACTTCTGTTTCCCTCAAATAATCCAAGAATTGTTTTTCATTTGAGGGACAGAAGGCTTCATAGAATGTAGGGTTATGCTGCCACCTAAAAGATGATTTGGACATTGGTAAACAATTTGTGGCCAGCCCTATACAACCCCTCCCCATTTCAAATATACCTCGGTTTTGTTAGGATAGACATCTGTGCTAGCAGAAGAGGTTAGACTCTTCGGCAATTTTTTTTTTTTTCATGATTCAAAAAAATAAAATAAAAAAATATATATATTTAATACTGTGTGTGCTGGTCTCTATACATCTATCCAGATTAGCATTTTTCTCAGCACTAGCTTTGGTCCCACTGGACTAGACAATTGTGGGGCTAGTGTGTCCACTGGGCACACTAGCCCCACTGTGCAGCTTTTCAGACTCTAGTGTAAAGTTAGCTGCATATTGTTTTCTGGGTCCAGAGCTATGGCAGAGCCCAAGGTGACTGTCTGAAGTAGGCTGTGTAGACGGTACTGGGCGCTACCTTGTTACTAGGATGTCTGGGTACCATTTGAAATCCCTGCTTTCGGTATACCACAGTAGGGGTTGGAAATGCATGTCCTAAACTTTCCAACCTTAGATTCTTTACGTTTTGCTGTGGGGCTCCAGCACTTCAGTTTGTGGACAAGTCTTACTGCAGCAGGATGGGTGGAATTGATCCTGTCCTGGGCAGAACTTTACATTTCATCTGCTCCATGGGTTTGTGATGGGAGTGCATATTGGGGATCCTCATGTCCTAAGTGGATGTGTACTCCTTAAAACCAGACATTTGTCAGATATCTGGTCCCAGGGGCCATTCACCATTTTAGATTTAAGGTTTCCGGATTTAGGCTGGATTTCAGCCATGTTAAGGTTAGACATCGGAATCTGTGATTGTTACATTGCTAAAGGCTAGCATGTCTACTTTAGCACCATATACCATTCCTCATGGAAATCATACTTTGCTGCAAGGAAAAACTTATCCAGAAAATTCTCAGATGAAATATTTGCCTTTCTGCAAGGGTAGTCTTTTTGATCAGCATTTGGCATTGAGTAAGGGCCTAATCTTCGCACTTGTGATCTTGTGCCAAAAGCTTACCATAATTTGATACCTCTTTTTATATTCAAGTGTGTGTATGTCATGTAGCGCATCTGCAACTCTAAGATCTGAATTTGGCTTCAAGAGGCCGTTTTAAAGAGCCAAGAGATCCAACTGGGGATGCTCCACTTTCCTTGCCATCACTCGGTCAGTGTGTAAAGGGATTTATTTTTACAGAATAAAGCTGCCAGCTCAGACACTTTACTTGCAAAGAGGTGTTGAGGCTCGTACATTCCTACTGAAGGTAAATTTGGCCATAACCAGAACCTTAACGTCCTATCTAGTTTCAGTTCATCAGATCTCCTCCTTTGCCTGGTTGCAGTTTTTGTGGTATTCACCTCACAGCCATTGCTTTCATTAGAAAGACTGGCTTTGTTATTCCTGATGGTCCCTATAAAGAGGAACCTGCTTGTCACTTGGGACCATAAACTTGGATGATGTGCGAACCACTAAGAATCTGGTTCCACCCATCCTGTCAAGGCAAACTATGGAGTGCTGGTGGATTTATATAGCGCCAACTGTTTGCGCAGCGATTTACAATATAAGGAAGACATTACAATACAATTCAAGACAATATGGTCAGGAGGGCCCTGCCCCTGAGGGCTTACAATCTAACGGGAGGGGGAAGTGATACGTGAGGAGGTAGCTGTGTGGGCTTGTTTGAGAGATTGATAGTGGTTAGGTTGGATAAGTTTCCCTGAAGAGATGAGTCTTAAGGGAACGCCTAAAGGTAGACTGAGTAGGAGATAGGCGGACAGGTTGGGGTAATGAGTTCCACAGAACGGGGGTGACTGGTGAAGTCCTGGAGGTGAGCATGGGAGGAGTTGACAAGGGAGCTAAAGAGCAAGAGGTCTTGGGAGGAACGTAGTGGACGTGTACTTGGAGACAAGGTTTGAGATATAGCCGGGGGCAGAGTTGTGGCTGGCTTAGTAAGTGGTTGTTAATATTTTGAATTTTACCCTTTGGGCTATTGGAAGCCAGTGCAGGGATCGGCAGAGGGGGGTTGCCGACACTGAGCGGTTGGTTAGGTGGATAAGTCTGGCAGTAGCATTCATGATAGACTGAAGAGGGGATAGCCTGTGTAGAGGTAGGCCAATGAGGAGAGAGTTACAGTGGTCGAGACGAGAGATAACAAGGGAGTAGATAAGTAGCTTTGTGGTTTCATTAGTGAGGAAGGGGCGTATTTTGGAGATGTTACGAAGGTGAAGGTGGCAGGATTTGGATAGTGATTGGATGTGGGGAAGAAAGGTGAGGTCCGAGTCAAGGATGACACCCAGCACCCTGGTATGGGGTAGGGTTGGATGGTTGTGTCATTAATCATGATTGAAAAGTTGGGAGGGTGCGTGAATACCATAAGCTCAGTTTTTGATAGATTGACCTTTAGGAAATGTTGTGACATCCGTTGTGACATCCAGACGGATATGTCAGTTAGTAAGTTAGTGATGCGTAAGACTGTAGCGGTGAGTTGTGGAGAGATAGATTTGAGTTTCGTCAGCATAGAGGTGATACTGGAAGCCATGTGAGGAGATCAGCTGACCAAGAGATGAGGTGTAGATCGAGAAGAGAAGGGGTCCAAGGACAGAGCCTTGTCCTTGGACGGCATTATCCCAACAGACAGGGGAAGAGGAGAGGAAGATGTAGATTTGTAGGTTACACTAAACGAGCGCCTAGGTAGGAGGAGAACCATGAGAGAGCAGAATCTACAGTCCAGCGAAAGCCGGACTGTAGGGGATCGAGAAGGTTGTTATCGGTGAGGTGGCTGCTCAGGCGATTCTAGACAAGGCGTTCAAGGAGTTTGGAGGTGAAGGGGGTATATATTACAGCAACCGAGAAACTGGAGAAAATAAGCGAATACAGTGAGCTTCAAAAGAGGAGAGGGATAGAGAGGGAGGTGAAGGCAGAACTTGAAAAGTGCATTGTGGGGATAGGATTCCCACTCCACCTCCTTTTTGTCCACTGGGTCTGAGTGTGTCCAGTGGAGGCCACCATGCGAGAGGGCAGCAGGGGAGGTCGAGTCGGATTCCTGAAGCCAGGTTTCAGTGACGGCAAGCAAGTTAAAATAATTGGAGATGAGAAGATCATGTACAGCAGTGAGTTTGTTACAGACAGAGCGGGCATTCTAGGGGGCACATGAGAAGGACGGACCAGTTCTAGGAAGCAGGGGGATAGAGATAAGGGTGCGTGGGTTGCGGCGGCTGCCAGAGGAATGGGAGTGCTGGTTCAGGGGCTGAATATTATGAAACACAGGGCCAGGATAAAGAGAAGCAGAAGGGTGCAAGTAAGGTGAGTGGGATTTATGAGTGAACATGCCCCAGTGTCCTGGAGGGAACACTTGCATGGGGGTTAAGAATGAGAAGGAGCTGGAGGAGCAGTAATAGCGAGAGGGTAGGAGAGAGGGTGCGAGAGGGTAGGAGAGAGGTGGGGTTAAGAAAAGAGTTTAAGAAGTGAAGAGATAATTGTGAAAAGCAGTGGTAGAAAAGGCATGTTAAGTGACTGAGTAGAGATCAGATTTGGTAGTGATAGAGGTGAAATGAGTGAACAGGATTACCTGCAGTGTGGATGCAGCAGTAGTGTAGTTATATGATAGCCTTTTCCAAGTGTAAAGTTGATGACGACACTTAATACCAGAGAGACACTTTGTATCCGAGAGACATTGCAAAGTGCCTCTGCCCCCTAGCAGTAGACATTATCACCTTTTGCGGGGGCATTGAAAAAAAAAAAACCATGCCAGCAATGTACATGGTGTGTAGATGATGCCGGCATATGCAGATCCTGGATATAAACACCAAAACATACTTTTTTTTTTTTTTTAGTTGTCCTGTTGGGCTCCGTGCTTTTTTGTGTTTTTTTTTTTTTTGTAAATGGCTGCCAGGCTGCTTTGTACAGTGGAAACTACAGTGTAGGGAGTGGAAAAACTCATTTTCCAACAATGCTTATTATAGTGGTACCGCCCCCTGGGCAGTGCTGAGTGACTACAGTTGGAGGATTGTTGTCATTGAGCGCTCGGAACAAATATAACATATTTTTAGAGCTGCAGCTAACTATTATTTTCAAAATCGATTAGTTAGCCGATTATTAAGTTCGATTAATCGGTTATAAAAATAAAATACATTTTAAAAAATGGCTCGTGATGGGACTACTAGTTTGTATTGAGATTGCAGTCCATCACAGGAGCAAGCTTGGAGCTGTGGAAGTAAAAAAATAAAAAAAGTGTGGTGTGCAATATAGTGAAATGAAAAGTGTAAAATTATACAGCAATGAATGCAGAATGGCACCGGCTATAGAGGACTACAAAACCCAGCAATAGTACATTATACAGCACAATGCAGAATACCACCAGCTATAGAGGAATACAACAAATCCCAGCAATAATACATTATAGCTGGTGGTATTCTGCATTGCGCTGTATAATGTAGTATTGCTAGGTGTTGTAGTCCTCTACAGGGAGTGGTATTCGGCATTGCACCACGGTATAATGTAATATTGCTGGGATTTGTTGTATTCCTCTGTAGCTGGTGGTATTCCGCATTTGCTGTATAATGTATTATTCCTTGATTTGTAGTCCTCTATACCAGGGCTTAAAATTTCCACTCGCCTGCTCGCATTTTGCGAGTAAAAATAAGGTGAGGGCGAGTGGAAATTTGAGAGCAGAGCAGCTCCTGTCAGTTCTGGCTTCCTTAGGCCGGTTCTGAGCTCCGAAGATAAGAATGTCTGTGAGCAGCATCGATGCCTGGCTATCTGGGTGTGATAGTGAGGGCTGCTGCAGACCTCTGTAATCACTCACGGATAAACTAGGCATCGATACTGCTCACAGCCTCCTCCCTGCAAAGACGTGAACAGGTGAGGGGGCTCGGGGGAAGGGGTTGAGTATTATAATTTTGTGTAGGGGGTTAATAAGGGGTGAGTGTATTATTTTATGTAGGGGGGTTAATAAGGGGG